CTTTGCCAACGGCTACGAGCTCTTCGAGGTCTCCGAGGAGCGGGATGAGGAGGTGGCTGCTTTCTGCCACATGCTGGATGTGTGAGTACCCGGCCCTTCCTGGGGCTCCCAGTGCACCCCAGGGCTGTGGTGGGACCCAAAACAGGCATTTTTTTGGGGGGTGGGAGAAAAACCCAAAGCAAGGCAGGACCTCTGAGCTGTCCCTGGCTCTGCAGGCTGCGGTCTGGCTACAGCACTGAGGACTATTCCCTCACTGGCTTGGTGTGGAGCTCTGTCAACCTCAGCCCTGAGCAGCTGGGCCACGGTGTCAGCCTGAAGGTGACAGTGGTGTGTGACAGCCTGCGGGAGCCCCTCACCTTCACCTGTGACTGTAAGTGCCACCAGCAGCCACCTGCGTGTCCCCTTCTTCCAGCCATCGAGGAAACCAGGGGTGATGTGAAGCAGGGACAGACCCCAGCAACACCTGGGTGGGGGAATCTTGGTGCGTGGTCCCATCACCCCTGGGGCTCACGCTGCTGCTCCTCTTCCTCCCCATGAGGCTCCTCCACCGTGGACCTGCTGATTTACCAGGCTCTGTGCTACACGCACGATGAGCTGTGCGCTGTGGACGTCGAGGACTTTGTGCTCAAGATCTGCGGTTTGGAGGAGTTCCTGCAGAAGTGAGTGTGGGGGTTGGAGAAAAGGGAGGCTGGGGGGGGTAGGAAACACACAACAGGACCCAGGCATCCCATGGCTCACGCGCTCGGCCGTGCTCACCCCGTGTGATGGATGGTGGGGGCTGATCCCAGCAGGAGCCTTTTCCTGCCTCCCCAGCCGTGGGGATGCTCTTGCCAAAAGCAGCATGTTGGGAGCATCCTTCCCGGTGGCAGGGTATCCATCAGGCTGACCCCCCCACGTGCCTGAAAAGCAGGGAGCTGCCAAAAAAGCTCTTTGGAGGGAGTATTAATAACAGCCGTGTCACTGAGTGGAGAGGCAGAGTCCGGCTTCTCCCAGCCAGCTGCTTCAACTGCAGGAGAAGGTGGAAAAGGGACACGTTGGAGGGGAGAAGGAGAGGGGGGCACAGGAGCATGAGGGCTGCAGTGGGCTCCCTTGGGTGGGGGACGAGACCTGAGCCCTCCCTGCCTTGCTGCCTTTCCCAGAGGAAGACTGGGAAAGACGGGTTTTGGGATCTGACAGCTCAGGAGAGCAGAGGGAGCAGCAGCAGCCAGGCATGCACCGGCACACACTGTCCTGCTGCTGCTGGAGAGCTGGCCCAGGCCTGGCCCTGCTGCTGGAGGCCCCCAGGAGCTGTGCCACGGCCTCCAGGAGCTGTGCCACGGCCCCCAGGAGCTGCTGGGTTAGGCCCTACAGGGGCAGCTGGGAATTGCTCAGGCCAGGAAAGCTGGAGCAGACAGGGATGCAGGAGGGTTCCTGGCACATCATTCCCATCAGTGCTGAGTCCTCCCACTGCAGAGTGCCCCAGAGCACGTGTGTGTGCACACACGTGTGTGCAGATGTGTGCCTGTGTGTGCACACTTGCTTGCAGGGGTGCAAGCTCTTCCCTGGCTGTGGGCACAGCAGCATCCCCGAGCATCTGACCCACCCAACCTCAGCTGTGGGTGGCTCAGGGCTGCACCAGCTGCAGGGCAGATCCAGCCAGCTTGGAGGATGTTTCTCCAAGGGATGAACCTCCTGCTTTTTTGGCAGGGAAAGACATCCTGGGCACGGAGCAGGACAGCCCGTCCCTGGCCAGCGTTTCCCGGGAGCCGGCACGGGCAGGAGCTGCCCTATCTCCTGGGGCCCTCAAAGGACCTTTGAGAAAGCTCAGGGACATAAAGCTCTTTTGTCACTGATCTTTTCTTTCCGCGTCTTCTCCTGGCGGAAGAGATGCTGGAAGTGCCAAAACCCTCTGTGTGGAGCCCTCTCTGTAGGTCCCACTGTGGGAGGGGGAGCTGCCCGTGCTGGTGGGCATGGTGGGACCAGGCTGTTCCTCCCTGCTCCAGGGCTTGGCATGGCCCTGCTGTCAGCAGGACCATCCTCCAGCTCCTCGGGTCCATGCTCTGCTTCCCACACAGGGTTGGGCAGGTCCTGGCACAACAGGCTCCTCCACTCCCAGCCCCGTCACGCCGGCTGGGCTGGGCACAGCTTTTTGGAGGGCGCAGGGGAAGGAGGGAAAACAATGGCTCATTCTTCACGTTTCCTAGTGCAAACCTCCCCGTGCCACAAACATCCTTCTGCAGGCGAGGTGGCCGTGGCTGACATCATGCCTGGCCGTGGGGCTTTGGGATGGGGCATCCCGGGTTTGGGTTTTGGGGTGTTGGATGGGATGGAGAGGGAGGGGTCAGGCTGAGGCTGGGGTCTCTGTCCCCGCAGCAAACACGCGCTGGGCAGCCACGAGTACATCCAGCACTGCAGGGAGATTGACATCGACATCCGC